GTTGTTTTTCTCGTTGTTGTCTGTTGTCTTTGTCTGTTGACCTCACATGAATCAAGGGAAAATGAGTTACACACAGTTGGCTATTAATCGGGAACCAATCCAGTGGTGCGTCATCGGCCTTCCTACTTAGTGATAAACCAACGCCATCCAAGCCTGCCGCGGCTGCTTCTGTCTCATCTGCTAAAGCTTGGCGATATATGACTCCATGGTCAGTGGGAGATCTCCACTCAATCACATTATTAGGATTTGTAATCGGGTTTCGGAAAGACAACGGTTGATATGCTAGTATAAGGTAGAGTTAAATTTAAACACTCATTCAATATCTGCTTGTCCTCTCATGCTGAATATCCTTTCGACATCTAGTTTCCTCGACATTATCATGACCTCAACGTATGGTAACCGAGGTTACAGAGCCACTATGCCACCTTGCACACCAAGAAATTTGTAACACCCTGATAGTGTAGTGCAAGTGAGTGATTTCTGCATGGTTCCTTTATGCCTACCTATCGGATTGTGTGGTAGCCAAAACACAAATGCTGCCATGCCAACGGAGATTGCCACAATGCCCACCCAGACAGTTATCAGCTGAAAAAATACCCCACTGCGGCCACAAGAATGGTGGAAGCAATGGTTCTTCACTTCGGGTCAACGAACCCCGAATTGTTCTCCCCAATTCGACTGTGCCTGCTTTCGCATCACATGGTCGCAAAGCGCGTTGAGTGTACAGTCAATCAGCCGCATTCGGTTTCATCAGTATGTGCATTTCATCATCCTTATACACGCTAGTAGAAGCGTAAAACACCTCAGCTACTGTGTCGCAATAAATAAGAGAAAAGAATGAAAAGATGCATCAGATGCAAGCCAGTTGAGCTACTGGTAACGGATGGACGTCGTCCCGGTAAGTTATCAGCTGGTTAATATGCAGCAAAAAGTTACTATGAAAAAACAAATGATGCTAAATAATGAGATCGTGGCTGGAGGGGGAGGCTAAGAGGGATGGGACGGACAAAGAAAGTCACAGCCCGAATGCCATTGAGGTCGGCTCCTAGCCATGTCTGTAAGTGTATCAAGGCAAACGTCTACATCGTCTTTCAGACCCAAACGCAGGGAGCCGAGACGCTCCAACCGAGGCCAGCTTCGAAGTGAGGGCCTTCATTCCTCTTGACCAAGTCATCGCATGGCCAACCCTCCTTCCATACAAACCACACCCCGGCGCGTAAAGATCGCACTTCGCGGGAATCGGTGGGCTGGCATAGGTGACACATGACCCAGCCATCGGAGCCTCTTTCGTGAAACAACCGTGTTGAGCGGTTAATTTCTTTTTCATGTGCCGTAAACAAGGCGTTCAACACGCTCGTTACCCACTCGGTTTTCCCACCAGATATGAGCCAAATTGCAAGGCACCGGTGGTCGAACGTAACTAGGCTCTTTATGCCCACTGGTCTAAAGAGCTGGGTTTCACAACCGTACAATAGGGTCGAACGTACCGCTGCATTGTACACTCTAACCTTCAGGGCGACAGTGATACCGCGCCGGCGCCATAAGTGGCGTAGGTTAGCAAAATCACTTCGAGCTTTTGCTATACGGTTCGTTATCTCATCTTAAATCCCACGAACGCTGATACAACTTCCCAGGTAGTTGAATTTTCGAACGACTTCTAGATGATCCCCACCAAGGGTCAGCGCAGCAGGCGGTCCACGTCATTCTTGGAGGAACACGTTGCACTTCGATGGTGCGAAGCAAAACCAGTGCTAATCTGTCCAGTGCAGCTTGGCACGTTTGTGAACTGTCACAGATTAGGGCAATATCGTCAGCATACTCCAAGTCAAGAAGTCGTTCTCCTGGGAGCAGATCCACGCTTTCTATGTCGTGTCCTGTGAACACAATTTCCATGACTTCACCAATAGTGAAGTTGAGGAGGAAAGGTGACAGTGGGCAACCTTGTTTCACACCGCTGGAGATATAGAAGGGCTACGACAGCTGGCCGTAATCCCTCACTCTGCCTGAGCTACGCGTGTATAAGGCTCGGATAATATCTACCTATTTCTCAGGCACACCCTTCCTGACTAGACAGTCCCAAAGTGCATGTCTATCCACCGAATCGAATGCACTTTTAATATCGAGGAACACGACAACAGTGGGTCGCCAATATATGTGACGGTGCTCCCACAACTGACGCAAAGTGAAGATGTGGTCAATACGGCCACGACCTCTACGAAACCCGGCTTGCTCTTCAAGAATCTGGCTTTCACGAGTGCTAGTCAGTCTGTGAAGGATTATAGAGGCAAGCAATTTGGAGGCGATGGAGATCAGGCTGATTCCGCTATGGTTTCCGCATTCCGATCGTGAGCCTCCCTTGAAAATTGGGACTATGACGGAGCGGCTGCAATCGGTTGAAACAGTTTCCTGCTCCCACAGTTTCACTAGTAATTCCTGTAAATCATCCACAAGAGCAGGTCTCCCGAATTTGAAGAGGGCTGGAGGAAGTTCGTCTGGTCGTGCGGCTTTATCTATCTTTAATAGTCCAAGCTCACGTTCGACTACTGAGAGAGAGAGGGCGGATCAAAAGGGATAGCCCAAGGAGTAAGGCGATCACATGTAGCTTCAATAACACCAGGTCTCCTGCTGCCTGTTTCTCCTTACCAGACGGAATCATTTTCGATGGTTACCAAGGGCAGTGGCCATTTCCAATTCTGATACATAATGAGTCCACCGGGATTCGCGGTCTCGGAGTTTTACCCGGAGTTTTCTGCGATTCTCACTGTGTTCGATTCCAGGCAGTATGTGCCCGGAAGCATCGATAAGTTCCAGAGACTGCGAAGAGACCCCATATCCATGTTGACGATTAGACTTACCACATCAGGATTTGCCTGCTGCTACTAAGGTCTGGTGAACATGTGACCAGTGGGCTTCAATTACACCCAGTGAACGCTTATTTAACTCGCATGTCAGCGTACATTGATAGGCATTCAGAACAGCTAGCTTCGCCAGTTGACTGGTGTCAATGCGCTCACACCGTCGTCGTGGGCGTCCGCCAAAACGCATCCGCAAATCAGCACAGACAAGTGTATATCAGTGTATATCAGTGTCCACACATGTGCGCCAACTCGAGCGACAGTTCTGGATGAAGCCTCTCCAACGATAACATATCGCAATGTGATCGATTTGTCTCCACAGCTGGTTCAAGGCTGGTGGGCGCCATGTCACCCTCTGGCGGGTGCTGTATCGGAAATAAACGCTCGCAAGAAATAAACGAGCAACTTCACACAAAGGAAGTAACCGCTCACCGTTATCATTACGGGGCCTACACCATGTTGGTCGTCCAGATGCAGCTCATCGGTGGACAACTTTTCAACTGAAGCATTCAGATCACCAGCCAGCACTACAGTGTCCGAGCTCCTTCGATGGCGTTGGAGCTCGTTCAGTTGGCGGTTGAAGTCATCTTCAATCGAACCATCTCTAGAGTTTGTGGGTGCATAGGAGGCGATGACGAATAGACACCTGTTAGTGGCGCGTTACTTCGAAGCTTTGAACGGGCCAGCCAATCGGACCGCACACATCCGGCTACTGATTGGAATCCAATCTATTAGAGCAGCTTCAGCCCGGGGACTCAATGCAATACCAACACCGGCTTTGCCGGTGCTCGAAGCTGCATCGTCACCGGATGGGCGCAATAAGAAAATACTGCTTACGTCACCTGAAGGGGATCGCAGAGTAAGCACAGAGCTCGGGTCTTGCATTCGGATCGCAGATAAGCAGCAGCTATCGATCGAAAGTGTCTCTAATGTTCGGATAAGTGCCGCCTGTTGATGGATCAGTAGCAATGTGCTTACAGTGAGGCATGTCAATCTGAAGGAGGATCGTGGGCTCCAAATGGAAGCCGATGAACTGGGGTTCAGCGCTTGCTTGAACATGGGCTTGTCAACAGAGCAGGAATGATGATCCGAGTTCACACGTGAGTTGAAACTCGAAGGTAAAGGCCAATCAAAGCAAACTGAGGAAGGGCTAAGAATTGGGGGTTAAAAGCAGGGGGATACAAGTGAAGCTGGAACGAGACGATAATGGTGAAAAGCATAAGAGGAGGAATAAGAAGATGGGAAGTTTTGAGCAGTAGCATCCAAACACACATCCACCCTGCCCGATGCATCAGATAGGGCACCGTTGATTCTCCTCTGACGTAGCCATAGCATCAGGAAATCTTTTGTGCATTTAGAACCACGCGATGTAAAATACAAGTGCAATAAACAGGAATTCCTGACTAATCCTGTGCACTGAAACAGGTTGTTGCAGTCAAGTATTGCCAATTTTTCTATGATCAGGGTTGTATTGGAATCTTGTTGGAGCAACACTGAACTTATTTTGATTGTTAGATTTGTAGTTGTCAATATAACAGACCATCCTTGTCTGACAAGCGTGAAATTCTACGATTGCTGTGCACCAGCTTTTCATTGTCACAGCACGGTTCCATGAACTGATTTCAATGACCGCCGAGAAGCACAGTATACTTTGCTTACCCAATACCTCCTGCAGCAGTCTGGGTGTCATCGGCGAAGGCCACTAGTGTTTCGCACGAATCACGAAATAGTAATGTTTGCCAAGAAGATATTTAACACCCAAAGAGTGATCAACACAAAATTGAACCAATAAAGACAACGGCTTGGCAAGGAGCTGTACCAAGGCTCTAGTTTCAAGACGATACGGAAAACTGGGAAGAAGAAAATTTGCACTTGCGATAGCATCCATGAATACGCCGGCAATAACCACCATTAATGGAACTGCTTTTTGCTACAGAATCATGGTGCACAATCTAGATTTACGTGACTCAGACTTGCCAAACAGAAGCCAAATGGACGCCTCGTCAGCAGATTGCTTCTAATATGAAGGTTTCTGGTAACAGATTCTGTGCACAGACAAGCCTCTTTACATCACCACTGCTGCCAGCTGTATGTTATCGTACGGCTGCCATCAGCTGTGAAGGTAACTTGTATTTTCATCACACTTCAACACTGATTAGACTGTCTTCTTACCTCACAAGTGAGCGATTTTCCCGCCTCATGAAGTTGTGAAATTTGTGCCATTAGCGCCCTTTTCTCCGACTTCAGTCTTTTGATGTCTGAGTGAACAGAACGCAACTTGCAGTTACCAAGACAAAGGACGGTTGCTACTTAAAGCCATGAAACGGCACTCTAGTAGAAACAGGTTCTTCAGTTGAAGGAACTATTCGTTATCATGGCTATTAGTCTCTACACTAGTTCTGCTTTTGCTTTGAATGACTCATCTTCATTCCGGTAGCACCACCACTTTACCGCGAGGATATTAAACCAAAGAATGGAAAGAAAATCAATAACTTTGTGTAATCGTACAATGCCCAGCATCTAGCTACAAAAATTATTCTATCATGTACTGAAATTTCTAGCTGTGATATAGTTCAGTTGGTGTTACACCAACAGCAAATGGCGTAAAAAATGAGTGCGTAGGATTACGCAACTTATGAGCACAGATGCGGCGTGCAGACAGCAAATATAGGACACGTTCAGCGACAAAAAGTAAGCCTTTGCAAACGTAATCGGATGATCGCCCATTAAAACAAAATTACGGGGATTGTAATAAATCAGGGTAAAATCAATGCAACAAAGGGTTGGTTACACTGTAAAATCCCGCTAGATACGTCTGCACACCGCACTTAACAAAAACTACTTTCTTATCCATCTTCCCACTAACAGATTGGTTGGATGCTACCCTACTTTCAAGCTTAAGCTAGGGCCCCCCATGGTGCTACAGAGAAACCTTGATTGGTATCGCCGGTAACGATTAAAACGTACTTCAATTTTATAACCCGAAAGAAGAGCGTGAGTTAGGGGAAAGCCACGCAGTGTGGTCTTGTGGCATAAATGCAATGCACTCTCTACGTTCTCTCAAGGCTCGTGCCCACAACTCATCCGGAAACTCAGGCCTTGAGAAAAGCTGTTTGATACTAAACCGCAGCTAGCTGCGATGTGCGGATAGTTACTAGGCAGAACTAGGGCAAATATCTTTTTATAAAGTTTCAACTTTGGCACTAAAATCTCAGTACCCAATCGAGCATTAGGAGTGGCCAGAACCAAATCATTGTAGTTAGTGCTGTGATCCATAGGTCGCCCTGCGTGGAGATTTAGCAGAGTGCGTTGAATTATGGGTTAAAAATGGCTGACCCAAAGCAATAAGGTTTTCAACACAATCCAAGTGCAACCGATAACATCGCTGAAGCTAGAAAGTCACCTGTCGTTATTTCAAATAAAACACTACACGATCCCCGAAAAAACGAATACAGATCATATTCATCGGACTGCAATGTGATTCAATGAGGTTGCGAATGAAGAAAACTTGATCAAATACAACACTTTAGGTGAACGAAAAAAGTAGGACTCCAAGGAAGAATAGTTTGTCACCCAATCTCGTACGGTGGTTAAACATAGCCACTACCGATCGTTCTTCTCTCAAGAAATAATCTAGAGGCCGAAGTCTTGTATGTCACACGTCTCCAAACTACCCCATGGACTGTTCGATTTCTACAGTGGTTTCTTGAAGGGAACGTCAAGACAAGCGAACGAAACCCAGAGGAGTACCGAAAACAAAAAAGGAAAATCGATTAATGTTCACGGCGTAATCAAGATTCAAACTACACGCGAGCTAGAAACTCAATCACATGAATGACACGCTGCATCAGTGAAACGCTGTCCATGGGAAAATTTTCATTACCACCAATATAACCTAACTAACATTGGTTGTGGCGCAAGTGTGAGGAAAGTCACACTGCGATCCATACCAATGGCAGAAGGGGCGAACAACACGTGACTCACAATGTATAAGATGTCGCCATCCGAAATAGGTATAAAGGTGATGGACACTCGACCACAACTAGACAAGGTACCACTGAACAGGCAAACTACATGGGCAACACCGTCAACATGCACCTAAGAAGTGAGGCACCGAATGAACATCATGGCAGCTAAAGGAGTACTAGGTTACCAAGCAATTGCTGACATTGATTGTCGTACACACCAAACTAGGATGGCCCTAAGGCCTGCATTGCCTGTTTGACAAAAATCAACACGACTCGCAGCCGTCTCCTCAAGGATCGGCATAGACCCCCAACCGAAATCAGCATGCGCAAACGCGCTCGTATACCCTAAGCCGTCAACCGACTGGTAAACTATGCAGTCTTCGCAGTTAGTTCACCGAGCTTGGTATGCTTGCCGTTTTCACAAAGGGGAACATAGTCATGAGCACCGATGTTGACGGCTTTACCAGTCACGATTTCCCTACGAAACGATCGACACAGGGTAATACTGTATTACCCATCTGGTCTGCATATGATGCTATCGTCGATCCAGATGGTTTGGCACAAACCACACAAGACGCGGCCCACAAGCTTCGCCAACATTTCATCCACAGTTTCCAGAGTAAGTCATCATCTCACATGCCTTTGACACAGCTCCCACCACCATCAGCGTTGAACCAAGTGTTGTTCACTGTAGCCAATGTGATGAAAATACTATTATCGTTGCGTATGCACAGCTCCCTGGCGTGGACGACATCAGTCCGAAGACATTGAAGACAGACCGCCGTGAATATCATCGAACCATTAGCTTGGTTATCTCAACGATATCTTGATGAAATGCAGTTTCCCACAATGTGGAAACAAGGAACAGTCACATCCAGTTACAAGAGTAGAAATCGTGTGGAGTCGAACTATCGTCCCATCACTTCCCACTCAGTGTTATACAAAATAATGAGAGGTATAATCGCAGATGTGTTCATGGGATAGCTTGAGAGCAACAACATCGGTCTTGCACTACAAACTTGCTCCTTACCCGAGCTAGCTGGACGGAGTCAGTCGATGCCAGATTAGGAGTTTACGTCAAGCACCTGGATTTCTCCAAAGCGCTCGATTACCTGGACCATCGCATTTTCCTTCACAAGCTTTGAAGCTACGAAATCGGTGCCTAAATGCTGGGTTATATAGGCAAATTCCTCATTCAATATTAGCCGAATGTGAGCGTCCGCAGCTTCATTTCTGACCCACTGACGTTCATGGTGGTATGCAAAACGTTTCGTACTGGGGCTACGTTTATTCCTGGTATTTATTAACGCTCTTGCTAGTATACTGCAGTCGAACTTCTTGCCATTTGCAGGCGAGGTCAAAATCTGGCATGCTATCCAGACAGTGAGCGATCACACGGCACTGCAGAGCGACATCCACAGTGCCTATACTTGGTCATCCACAAAATGGCTCCAGTTTAACTTGGCGAAATAAAAAGTTGTGAGTATCCGCCATCAGCGTAGCTGTGAATATCGACTTGAAGCCCGGCTTTCGCAACTTGCTTCTCAGAATAATCTTGCAGGAGGATCTTTGCTACGTAGACAGGCTGGAAATGTATTGAAAAGGGCCAGCTAAAATCTTGGCCTCTTACGGAGAGCTTTTGGACATTTCGAGCCATCAATCTTTCCGCAAATGATGAACGTGTACGTGAGTCCCCACGGGAAATACGCGATCCGGGCCTGGCATTCCTGGCGCAAGCTCGACGTCGACGCACTCGAAGCGTCCCAACATATAAGGAGCAAACTCGTTAGAGGACTGGTTTACTTCCACTGACAGGGCAGGTTGTAGGCCCTGAAATTGTACATTAGTGTATACTGACGTCAGGGAGATGTCATCCTGGTTTACTTGATACTGGCGAACCCAATTCACCTATGTTGCAGCTGAGCCGAAAGACCAAACTGAGAGGCTACCAGCTCAAACTGGCAGAGCACTATAGTGGACTTGATTGTCGACAAAACCCATGCTTCCTCCGGGTGTCTTGAATCTGGAACGAACTTCCAACTCACGTCGTCCTCGCCCCTAAACACCTTTCAAAAAGCACATTAATGAAACACTTCCCCACTCGTATTACCTGATATAGTCCGCTTCACTTTGAGGACAAAATAACGCGAACCAAACTATGTGCTTAGCAGCCTTCTCCGCAATGTGGCGGTGAGGATACATGCATAAGTGTCCTTGGGAATAACCTGGATGTACCTAAACTTAATTAACGCATCGCATCGGTCAAGAGAAGCGGCGCACGAGTGTGTTGTTATTCCCTTTCTTTTGTCTCTCATGAAATGCTTAAACCATAACTACTCTTCATAATATTTTGTGTGTGTGATTTCCATTCCCCTTTCAAACTATCGTTATGCAGCAGTGCATTAAATCGGTAAACACTTAAAATGACGATTGACTTACCTTTTGCTGCTTTTAATCTGATTATTCACTCCACCCATCCTACGGGAATTGTAAAGCATACGCATTTTTACCCGTGATAAATCACTGTCCATTGCTCATTTGCAAATGGCGACTTGACCACACTCCCATTTACATAACTAGACCTTGAACGACATTGAACGAACCTGCGTTCCAATTGCTCACCTGTGAACACATTGTTTTGCCGCCGTTCACAGTTGCATTTCGTCACATAAACGTGTGTTCACACTCATTCGACCCAGATTCATCTGCACTATCTAGTGCACCCCATCTTTCGGATCTAGCCTGTGCGGATCGTCTTTTATCTCCACATTGCGGTTCCTGTGCGATTCCCTCGAAAATACGGTCGAGGAATTTCCCGAAACACAAACCACACAGAAATATTCATGGTCTCAAACGAAACCCAACTACACTTCCCATCTGACGAATCAACAACCACAGCTGTGGACCGATCATCAAACTAGCTGTCCTACAGATTGTGTCCGTATCGATCAGTCACTCTGTTTGCCGCGTTAAAGATCTAGACGCTTAAACCTGCACCTCCTGGTCCAAACGCACAGAATGTGACGAATTGAACATGCAGACCATCCAACGCACACGTGAGCGGCGGGAAACCATAAGCGCTCGGGCCTCTATGGGAATACCATCGATCGACGCAATGAAGTGTGGCGACTAAACGAAAGCCCATGTTAACGCATCAAGATCGACAATAGTTTGTCGTCTCACTTCATGCAATAAAAATGCACGGATCGGTATTCAATGTAGCAGCTGCCAAGGCAACTTCCATCATGAATGTTCCGAGCTCACAGTGAACCAGTTGGGGCTACGCAATA